TATACATCAACGTAATAGCTTCTACAGTAAGAAATAAAAGCATAACAGATTAATGCAATACTTCTTTCTCTAAGATTCTCTCTCACTCTTCTTCTTCGATCTCTCTTTCTTTCTAGTTCTTGAAACCCTAGCTATCTTTCTCAATCTTCTTACATTAACAATTAGTTCATCAGATTTTGTACAAACATAACAAAAGGAAAAATTCTTTGATTTTTTTAGTTACTTGTAGAATCTAGCAATTCATTTGATTCTTTGTACAATGATGTAACATAGAAAATTTAGTGTTAGCACTCAAATTTTTCACACTACAATTTGTTTCTTTCGTCGAATTAAGTTTTGTTTAGCATTAAACAACTGCGGTTGTGCTTAATTAGTATTTATTGAAAACAAAATTTTATGTCCTTGTTGAGAGAGGGAGTTCTGAGTTTAGTAGTTGAACAAAATAAAGTTGTTTTCAGCCTAGTTGAATATTTCAATGAAATGCCAGTTCGTACCAAAAATATATTACAAAGTTTGCCCCACAAAACATGTGACCACATGACCACTATATCTGAACCGTCTATCTTTTAAATTTTCCCTCAAAGATCAAGTCTACCAAAAATCACTCAAATCTGAAATCATGTGACCACATGACTGCTAGGTTTAGGATTTCTTTATAGAAATTAGTTCGTCAACTTTCTTCACTACAAATGAATGTCTTAATAATTTTGAATTTGTCTATTTTGTTCAAAAAATAATCTGTGGATGATATTCTAAAAGATAGACGGTACAATTCATTAAAACATATTGTAGAGTAGGTTCCATAAAAATACCATGCAGGTGAATAGAGACAGAAAGACCACTTCAATTTAGAAGTCAAAAACTTGTAAGTTGGACTTTAGATTATCAAACCAAATTGTTAAATAGAGTACAACGCAAGTAAACGTATCCTCTAATCACTATACATTATTAGCGGTGAACACATGTAATGTTTTGGTTTACTCCTTTTATATTTTTGTTAATTAATCAACATGTAAAACACTATAAATACGAGAAACAGTATATCATTTTACTAAATATTTAATTATTAAAATTCCTCCTAAACTATCATGAACGTATCTCTTTACCATATGTTTTTGCAACTGTATCACCTTATCTAATAGCATTTTGTATCTCACATAACACTAGTTTGCAAAATTCGTCAATTAACGAATAAATTTTGCTCCGCGATATGGCATGATATTATTAATATGAATGACATTTTGATGATATATTGAGTATCTCGTATTAACAAAAAAAAAAATTAGTTAACACACGGAGTTGATGAACTATGGTAATGTGAATTACAAATTGAAAGTTTAGAGGGGAAAAGTGATACAGTTGCAAAAGGAGAGGATGAAGCCATACTTTTGATATACTTGATGGTGCATTTTGATGGTTAAGCATTTTACTAAGGTAATGTTAATTGAGCAGTATTAATCGTATTGTTTTAGTTGTGTTCATATTAGGGTTGTCGTGTAATGTATGTTGTATGAAATTTTTGTTATAATTTTGACTCTCTTTTGAATCTTGTTCTTTTATGTATCCAGCAATAGACTAAACTTAGCAAATTAGAGAATAACTTGAAATACACAAGATTTATCCTGGTTAGATAGAACTTTTGCTTATGTCCAGCTGTGATTTCTCTTAGTACATGAATCACGGCTTCTTTGATTAATAATAAGGCATACAGTACTTTTGCAAACCCTACACTAATCCCTCTTCTCTCAGCTGTCTCGAGCTTTTCTCTCTTATTTCTAGCCTTGCCGCACTCTATTTATAAGTATAAAGTGTGGTTTACATGTCTACTTCTTGTTAAGTTTCCTATTCTATGTGGAACAGATAAATACACTTTCTTTCCTTTTTCCAATTGTACTTCTTGGATTCCCACTCTAAATTGTAAAAAGAAACTTAATTCTTTCCTAATACAATTTTTAACAAAATAGGATACTAAAGTTGACGAGCTAACTTTCGAACAATTCTTACCCATGCTAATACTATTCATGTGTGCATGGGGACGAGAGAGAGAACGAGTGAAGGCAATGCAAAATAGTGGACCAAATATTGAAGAGGAAAATTAAAAAAAAAAAAAGGGAATGGGTCACGCTGCAGCATCAGGTCAGCCAATAAACCAAGTCCAGTCAATATTTCCAAATCTGACCCCTTCTTCCCTTTTCAGTTTTCAGCTCTCCTGCAAATAAATACCCACCACATCCCACCCACTTCTTCCATTCCCAATTCTCTCCTCTCCTCCTACTCCTCCAAACTGAAAACCCACCTGAGATCCTCTGGTCTCAACACTCTTAACAAAACACAGCACCCCAACCAATCAAATGGCTTCCCTCCAAACTTCATCTCTTGTCTCACGTTGTTCTTCCTCAAACAGAACCATAAATGCCGCCATTCATGTCCGCACGCTCCCAAGGGTCCGCTTCGCTGACCCAAAACAAACCACGAAGCTCGTCCTCGAAGGCCTCCAGTTGAAGGAACAAGTTCTGAAACACGAAAACACCGATTTGTATAACAACAATCACTCTGCAGCAGCAGCAGCCGCGCCTACAGCTTCCACAACTCAGCTCTACGCGCTCTTAGAGGCGGTGGCGGACAGAGTGGAGATGCACGCAAACATCGGCGAGCAGCGCAATAACTGGAACGCACTCTTACTTAGCTCTATCAACATGATCACTCTCTCCGCTTCCCTAATGGCCGGAGTTAATGCAGCTGCTGGAACGTCCGTTTTGGCATTGAACATTTCATCGGCTATTTTGTTTTCCGCAGCTACCGGAATGCTGCTTATCATGAACAAGATCCAGCCTTCGCAGCTCGCCGAGGAGCAGCGCAATGCTACGAGGTTGTTCAGGCAGCTCCAGAGCGAAATTGAGACGGTGTTTGCTCTTCGTGATCCTACTGAGAAAGATGTGAAGGAGACAATGGAGAAGGTTTTGGCTCTTGACAAAGCTTACCCACTTCCGTTGCTCGTGTGCATGCTCGAAAAGTTCCCCAAAAAAAATTGAGCCGGCTGTTTGGTGGCCTAGAAATGTTGTTCAATCTCAAATCCAAGGAAACCGAAATCCCAGATGGGAAAAAATGTGAATGGATGGAGTGAAGAACTTGAAAGCGAAATGAGAGAAATTATTCAAGTTTGTGAAGAACAAGGACATTGAAGACTATGAGAGATAGGAAGCTTGGCGTTAAAGAACCAACAAGATTTTGGCAGTTTCGGGCCCTGTGCTTACTGCGATCGCGGCTGTTGGATCTGCTTTTGGTAGGCCATGGATCAGCCAATCAGCCACTGCCAGCCGGTTGCAGCTAGTGGCTGCAGGCTAGTTTGGCTTGATGCAGTATATTAAAGGATGATGGGGAGCGGAACTTGTGCGCCGCCTTCTTTTTTTCAACAAGTTGGAGGTTTCAATGGAAACAGACTTGGGGAACAAGACTTGGAGTAAGCGAGATATTGGGTGGTTTTGAAATGAGGTTTGCCGCCCCCGATGCTTTGGGAGAAGCTTGGCAGGCACTCTCAGAGAACTTGCATCCGAATCAGCATTGTGTCGTTTGGAACGGAGAACCCATAGACGAATTCGGTTGTGCAGCTTTTCTAATTAGTTCATCAGATTTGTCACATCAACATAACAAAAGGAACAAAATTCTTTGATTCTTTCGTTACCTGTAGATCTTAGCAATTATTGATCTTGTGTTACAACACTGTAACATAAAGAATTTGTGTTAGCACTCAAATTGTCACCCTATAATGTTTTTCTTTGTCGAATTAAGCTTTCTATAAGCTATAAACAACTACGGTTGTGTATACGGTATTATTGAAAGCAAATTTTATGTCCTTGTTGAGAGAGGGATTCTGAGTTTAGTAGTTGGACAACATAGAGCTGTTTGCAGCCTAGTTGAATATTTTTATGATCATACTTCCCAGAAATGGTCTAGATTAGACGGCTTAGATTCACCTAAAATGTTGACTTTGAAGCCCTGTCTTACCTTGAATTGTTTGACTTGGGTGAGCTAACATTGGTGATTATCAGGTAATTTCTCTAATAAATAAATTATTTTAATATAGACAGCACTCCTCCTCATGTTTCATGTTTTGACATGCTGGTTTAGCTGTGAAACTAACAGTAAAACAATCATCCAGTCCGGATAAGAACAGCTAACAGTAAAGCCATCATAAGCAATAGCAATACAGAAAACAGTCAAGTTTTAGCAAGAAATCAAAGGGGAACGATTAGAACCCATGATGATGTCGCGCCTTGATTATCAGTTGTAGTATTTTGTAGGTTACAAAGGCATTGGGTCCGTGACAGCTCCATCGTAGGCCTTGTCCTCGGCCAATACTTAGCTTCTGGTTTCCGGCCCTTTTGATGTGATCGCAGACTTCACGTACCCCCATGCTATGTTTTTCCAGGCAGGGCTAATCCTCCACTTGTGACTTCCCATGGTCACCTTCTCGTTCTGAATCTCGCTGGGCTTCTAGCAGGCGGGCTGAAGAGGATGAAACCAGCACCGCCGGATTTTTAAGGACCTTCCTCAATGCTGAGTATATACCATCACGCAGCCAAGAAAGGCCGCTTGCTCCTTCTTCTTTCCTATACCATGTGAGTCCAGCCTCCACAGGTGTTGTGTGTTGCCATACATTGCGCGTATTTAAACACAACCTCCCTTTCGCGGAGACTTCGCGGCACCCAGACCGTCAGCCTCACCTTCCCCTCGGGATTTCTGCCAAGTTGCTTTGGCAAGATCTAACGTGCCTTTCTCATCAGGAACCGAGATTTAAATCATCTTTCAGTGATAAAATTCTCAGTGAAAGTACACGATCAAAATGTCAATTTCGAAGCCACTTCAATAAGAGCAGTAGAAAGCCAAATTTCTTATATCACCAAGAAAGGCATCATACAAGTAAAAATTGGCTTCACTTGTCATCTTCAATTCCTTTTCTTAGTAACTACATGGGGGGAGAGAAACGACTAACTAAGTCTGAGAACTCGCAAAAAAAACCTTAAATTGGTATAAACCAAGGGTCATCAGCCGAATTCTCAGATGGAAAACTATAATCCCCACACCGTCAAAAGTAATTTGCTCGCTTTGGAAAAGACCACAAAAGAGACAGGGGAAACGTACCCAGTCCTTGTGAGAAAGCAGTGTGCACCATTGATATCCAAAATTCGGAACTCTCCAAAATATAACTTGCTCAAATCCTCTTTTGTCAAGTGTTGAAGAGTTGGGGCAGCAAGAGGACCCTGCTCGAAAAATCAGAAAACTCTTGGTGTTACAATAAGGAACATTAATCAGCTATTGAAGCAAAATCAAACTGTGTCCAATTGTGAGCCTACTTCACTATCGTAACTGCAGCAGTTTTAACTAATCGAATTATTTGTCAAATCAACATAAATAAGTTTCAACTGAACTACAAAAACCTACCTTCTAATTACTGTACTTAGCTCAAATTTCTTTTAAACTGGATTTTTTAATGTAAGAGGAAAAAAGCAGCAATTGAATCAGACGATTCCAAACTCAAATGCAGTTGAATAAGACAAATTTCAAATATGCAACACCCCAATCATACACACCAGTTCTATCAAATGAGGAAGTGAATATTTAAAAAACACGAGTATATGGCAGATTCGGTACAATAACAAAATGAATCAACAAAGACGAGTAAATATTTGATCAAAGGATTGACCTGGAGAGCTAGAAGAGATCTCTCATCATGGATGTGCCATGAGACATCTCCGCCTTTAGCCTTGAATGCCTTCATATGCTCTTCAATGTGAGCAAGATCTTTATCCCTACATCCAGCATTCACCACCAGGTATATGTGGTCATCGGTAACCTTGGTAATCACAGAGTCATCAATTGCCCCTCCCTTCTCATTTGTAAAGACAGTGAGTGTCCCCGTTCCAGGGGCAAGCGAAGCAACATCCGCAATGACAAGCTTTTCAAGGAATGGAATGGAGTCCTTCCCCTTAAGGCTCAGCCCACACATATGCGAGACATCAAAGAGACTACCATTCTGCCTGCAGTTTATAGTGGAGTCGATGATCGAGTCCTTATACTGAATAGGCATTCCCCATCCAGCGAAAGGCACCATCTTTCCACCATTTGCAATGTGGAAGTCATAGAGGACTGTCTTTTTGAGTTCAGCTTCTGAGGCAAAGTATCGACGAGCTACAGCCTTCTTGTCACCCTGAGCAATACGCCGGGTGATTGACTGGCCAAGTTGCCACAAACCCGGTCCTCTCATCTTAGCTGAAATATCTGAGACACATAATCAATCATACTGACTTTTAGGTTCATGTTACAAAATGGAGATAGGTCTGCTATACTAGAAATGACATGCCTCTATAACTTGTCCTACAAACAAAGCATATTCTAAATGGGCACCAAACGATCCATATCTCAAAAACAACAATAATCAAAGGACGGTAGGGCGTCATTAGTTGCTGTGAGAAAGAAACCAACGAGAGATAAATCGATCAAAAATATTGCATTGCATTGCAATTCATACAGTTATGTTAGTGTGGTTGCATCGAGACATTACCCTTAAGCATCAAATTTTTGAACTTTGAAGTCGAAAGTCATCCAAATGGTAAAAAAACACAGAGGAATTGATCAAGCCGGTCTCTTTACAATACAATTTTCAAACTTTGCATTTGATAATCCACCAAATCAACATAACAAGTTTTAAACCACTGAAAAAATGCTACAAATCAATCAGAACCTCTTTCAAGAACAATAAAACAATTGAATATTAAGCCATTGGGACCTCAAATATCAGAACCATCAAGGAGAAAGCAAACCAACCACACAGATCTCTTAATCTCACATCATCTAATCTAGAGAGAGAGAGAGAGAGATGCATTAAAAAAAAAAATTCCCAGAAATACATACCCAATGAGATGCAATTACAGAACAAGGAGAGAGAAAGAATAAGAAACTCACATGCTGAGATGGGTTGTCTTCTCTGTTATCAGTTCTTTCAAAAACAAGCAAATCTGAGACTGAGAGCCCAAATGAGCAACTGCAAACTCAGAAAAAAGGTGGCGTTTTTATATTTATGAGTCCAAGTACGAGACAGTCGCAGAGACAGATAAATTAAAAAAAAGAAGGAAAAAGGAAAAAAGAAAAGGGTTGGTGGGTATGTAGTGGGTGGAGGAGGGTTTTCCCCTTCCTAATCGATAGAGCACCCCATCGCCAGTCAGTGAGTGGTGATGGCAGAACTTGACAAAATAACCCCTATCCCCTCTTTTCTATGATCATATCGCTTTCTTCACTCCCCTCTTTCAACACTAGGACTTGTGGGTCGGATCGGATTCGGGTTTTGCCCCTTTTTATTTGCGTTCGTTTTGTGTTCATGTAGGGTGAAGATGAAATTTACTATCAATCAACTCGTAACACTCACTATTATTGATGCTTTTCACGAGGTTTTACGAAATGAGTTATGAGGTTTTAATTTTCCTCAAATGCATTATGATTTAAAATCGTATCAATTTATGCTTATTTTTTGGTTAACAGTTTGATTCAACATTAAATTGATGTGTAGTAGATATGTGACTTAGTTCTAGGTTACGTATAATCTACACTTGCACAATTAAGACAAATTAGGTGAATATTTGTCGTTTGGGAATAATTATGCATTTTGAAGAGAAGTTCAAGCTCGATGATAACTAGTTTCGTTTCCAAGTAGTACTATTGTGATTTCCACACCAATACATAAATGAGTCACACGCTAATCATGCTACCAATTTAATAATAATCACAAAAACATACAGTTGTACAAATCGTAGACACGAAGGATAGGGATGATTTAGATGAAAGACTGACAATAATAAAACCTCATGGGACATTTTGACTTTCTAATACAAGTGAGCCTCATATACAATAATAGCATGGCCCACCTATATTAAAGTGTCAACAAATGTGTCAGTTTTGTGTGTTTAAATAGAATTATTGTTATACTCTAACAAAAAAAAAGTCTCGTTGCAATAGGAAAATGATTTATTCACACTTTTTTAATTAATGCATATTTTATTTTTTTAGTTATTAGATTGAACGAATAAAAATTAAATAAATGATGATAACCAAGGAAAAAAAAGTGTAGAAAAGATGAAATTTGGACCATTCCAATCTTACATAGAGCACAAAAGCATGAGGCTTACTGGGCTCATAGATTGCCCTGGCCCAATGTTCCCAACATTTCTACTCAAGATCCATCTAAATATTGCCATGCAAAATAAAAAATTAAGAACAAAACAGGGATAATTAATCAAAGATAGAGAAAATTCAAATTTGGTAACTTAAATTAATTATTCCATATCTAGTACACCAACCATATATGATGAGCACAAATTAAGCAACTAGTATTAATTAATTGATTCAGCTAGCTGCATGCATATATAGTGCTCAAGTCGATCCACCACCAGCTCCTTGCCCTTCAACCGCCCCCGTTCCCAGCTGCAGCTCCATCCGCAGCTCCAGTTGCAGCTCCGGATTCAGCCCCAGATGCAGCTCCGGTACCACTACCATGGCCTACTCCACTTCCGAACCCACCTCGAAAACCAAATCTTTTACCATATGGATATCCATAACGGGGAAACTTGTGATGGAGATACGTCTTTTCATCATCAAATTTAAATGCACCGCCGACGATACCCTTTTTGCTCATTGCAACGTCCCTCCCAGCCTCCGTGGTGCTACTGAGTGTAGCTAGAGCACCCAAAAGCACCAACATGATCAAAACCTTAGTAGCAGCCATGATCTCAAGCTATTCCTAGGAGAGAGGTAATAAGCTAAAGATTTGTGTGTATTCGATTTGGGACATTTCCCTTCAGGTTGGGCGACTGAATTTATAGGTTGAAGAACAAGACTAGAGAAGATGAAGGTTGAAATTAGGGAGACACTTCATGTACGTGAGTAACCTATATTTTTGGTTTACCAACAAATTAATACAACCACCCCTAAACATTGTTTGTGTGTGTTTGCATCAAAATGATCTTTTTTTTTCATTTCTAACCCTCTATTGCCTCTACGTAGTTGAGAGAGGTTACTAAATTCGTATCCCTCGTGGTTTGAAAGTCAAATGTAAAATCACACCATCGACATGCATGTTTGTGACGTTAATTTGAAATGAAATATTTTAAGTCACGTTATTTGCACTTGGAGCTATTTGTTAATCACTATACACACTACAATAAAAACTGACAACTACTGATATTAGTTGTACCAAATGAGGTGCATAAAAAGCATATAAGTGACTAAGTGGGTTAGCCACTCAGAGGCCTTTTACTCACCCCATTTTGTAGAGGTAAATGTTAGTGATAATGTCAATTTAAGGTATCCGGTCATTAATCAAATTGCACATGAAGCATATATTCGAGGACAATATTGAAAAGAGGTACAAATTAAGTCCAGAGTCACTTTTTTTTTTTCAAGTTTCGCACATTGTCTGCATAAAAATGTGCATGATGATTTTAAGTGTTAAGAGTGAGCTCAAGAGAGACATCATTCGCATCTGAATTCCCAGAGGCTTTATTGAACAAGAGGATATAGTCCTGCAAGACCTAAGAGGGCTGTCGTCTGATGACGAGTTATATGATAGAAAATTCTTAGGACACATATATTCAACTTATAGTGAGTAATCGTATCACGGTTAATAGGTGCGTTAAATATACCAAAAAAGTTTAATGTTAGTTGCTTAATACTTGAATTCATATAATCAAAAAGATTTTGTGACTGTTTGATAGTGAGTAACTAGCTGACGAGCTTCGTATTCTATTAGCGAAGGAGGAGGGAGATAGAGAAGTTGAAAGAAGAGACTAAGAAGAAGAATGAGAGAACATTGAGTATGATAACGCCGGTGATCACAGCAGTGAGATAGAGGGAGAGAGGTAGCACTAGTAGCTTCGCAGTTAGCTAAGAACATATAAAAGACCGCACGGAGCTTGGTTAAGTCACGTAGTGTTGAGGATGGTAGGGGAAATAGACAGTAAGACTTATAGAGAGAGAGCGTAGTAGAGTATGTACTCTGAATATCCAATATACAAATGCAAAACTTTTCAGTAATCATTGAATGTAACTTCAAATAACTAAAATTAAGAGGAGATAAAAAAAGAAATTATCTTCCTCATTAACGGGCTGAGGCGTACCTGGTGTATATGCGAAAGCAAGTGTCTAACATTGTAGATGTCTTGATATCTCGTAGGGGGCTAAAAACCAATAAATACATGATATCGGCCCTGTGCGATCACCGAGAGGCAATATGGATATCCAAGACCAAGGTTCATAATGACTCGCTTATTATCAACAGAGGGAATTGAAGTGTCAGTCACGCCCTTCAATACTCCAGAAGATGAAGACATATCCTTGGGATTTGTATAACTCAGTACGCATAAAGCAAACGCTGAGCAGAGGCTACTGCTGCGGCACATCAAAAAAATTTCATTATTTTCAGTTTGTTGTAAGGCTATTAGCTCCATATACAATGATGCACATGATTTCACACATATATCGAGAGATGCTTAAGCATGATTCAATACGCTCGATTTGGTGCCAGAGAGGTTCGTTCGTATCCATCGTACGTGTGTAGTGGAGGTCCTAGACAGAATACCAAGACTTTGTCAATAAAAACTGGTCGTTGCGTGCATGTAAGTATTTTGGACACAGAACTCAGAATAACAATTTTTTGCGATGCCGGCTCATATCGTTTCCAATTGCTGCTTAAATGATAAAAAACTTAAAATGCCGTTTAGCAGGTGAAAAAAACTCACTGAGTTTGAAATTTATCAGGCCTTAGGAACACTAAATATCATAGACCAGCATAAAATAATTATTCCTAGGAATTCAATCGTGAGGAATAATGGTAGCTCACGCTCTCTATAGGAGAATCCGATCATCGATTTCCTTGCTGACAAAAGGTTTCCACCAAGACGAGTAGTTGGAGCTGTGGAGAAGGGTCTAGATGAAAGAAGAGATATGATCAGACCATTTACGATCCGCGTCGCATAGTTGTTTATCTGAAGAAATCTGAATAGAGGAAAGACAATCTCATAATTCCATCTATAGTGTCATATAGTTGGATAGCAGACACTAAGGTGATAGAAAGATGGGTGGTCCAAGCCATAATACATACTAATCAAGTGGATATAGCTAAATATATATTTACTTCAAACGGAAGTGTCAATAATAAGTACAGTGAGGGTGGTGCACCTACATGATAAAGTCTGTTATAGATAGAACTTCACAAAAGAATGAATTAGAGGGTAGGAAACGGAATATGGCGACGTGATCGACATGATATATGGCGTGGGTGGTCCTTGAGCGATTATCTCTATACTTGAGCAGAATCATATTTCTTTAAGGGATGAGGTGGCCGACGAAAAGCTGATTTTTTATAACTAGGCGCATTTTTCGCAGGCACGGTAGTTCTCTCGTATCAGCAGATATTGCTGTGAGTACCATCGAGATGTCTGCCCGGTCACATACAACGTTTAAAGAAAAAAGAAAAAAAGAAATTCCCAAAAGTAATTAAAGTAGTGCGTTCTGCCTTATGAAACTGCCTCTCATCTTTTCTTTGAGTGCTCTATTTCTTGTCAAAGTTTGGTCTGCTTGCTTAGTATGGTTTTGCATGTCATCATGCTTTCATCAAGACATGGATAATTTTTTTGGGTACCCTTTGGTTTGGTTTGTGGTTTTGGTATTCAGCTGGTGGGGCATGATTGGTGCTGGTGTTATTTAATTTGGGCTCGTATTTATTTACGTTTTAGGGGGACTACACAGTCGTCTTAACGCGCAAATAAGCTCATTATGAGGTTACTTATTCTACTTATAAGCTGAAGCGTTGGAATGTGCTAGTAACTACGGGGTATAAGACAGGGTCTCCTAAAGGCTCGTGACCCAGATGAAGGAAGTATGAAAAGGTAGCTTTGGGAAGGTGACTACATGTGCAACCAGGAGCTCCGGTTTGGCGTTGAGGAGATCATAAAAATCGTCATTTGGATTGTTTGGCGAAAGTTCGTTAGTCAGGTCATCGTGGGAGGCTGGGATGACCATTACTGTTACGCGGATCTCATTTGCTTGGACAGAGCGGCTCGAAATGTTATGAGTGACTAGCTGTCGAGATAGTCGAAATTTGATACTGAGTTGAGGAATGGCCTTGGTCTTTCTGGCCATGGCCTAATGTAAGTGCTTTTATTTCGAGGATCCGTCGATCTCATATTTGGAGAGTATCATGCGGATAGTATTAATTATGGTGATGCATGTCCAGAATTTGGTGAGACTTTTGCTTACCTGTGTGTGCGCTAAGCTCCATAATACTATCTCAGCGCTGGACGGAGATAGAATACGGTGGATTTTATTCTTCGAGGGAGGTGGTGAAGCATTTGCTTTGCGGGCCTTGGGGGACTTGTTGTGGACTGTAGTATTCGGATATAACGTTTTTTTTTTGCTTTTTTCATTGATCGTAAGTTGTGATATAGTTGTTTGTGTTGTCGGTTGCGGGTTTTTGGGCATTTCCGGGTCTCATGCAGAATTTATTTTATCAATTCAGCCGTGTTCTTTATTATTGTTTTAAGTTGATTTCTTCTTTCGACTCGAGTTGATGATGTGCCTTGGTCATTCTGTGTTCAATGGCATAATTGTAAGGTGCTTTTATTTTTTATGTGAATCCGATTTTCTCATATTTATGGAGAAGGTAATCAAGTGGCGGATTACTTAGCTAATTATAGAGTTGATCATCCAGGTAATTTTGGTGAGACTTTTGCTCTCCTTGTGTTGCTGCTCCATATCTTCATAATCTATCTCAACTTTCCTGTTATAGGTTAGTTGATACTGAGCTTTGTTTTTCTATGATGGGAGGTGGTTTATTAGCATTTTGCTTTGCGGTCTTGGACTTTGGTTCGAGGAATCTTCGTCCAGTTTTTCTTTTTCATTGATGTATTGATTTTTTTTTTGCGGGTTTTGGCTTCGTCTCATGCTCGTATTTATTTATCATCGCTTTTTATTATTTAATGAAATTATGGAGATAGGGGATGGGCTCATTCTATCATAAAGTTAGCTCTTTCTAATGGCTTTGAGTTGGAAAGAAGTAACCTACTTTATAGTTGATGACTAATTCTCGGGGTCTTGGTTCTTTTTAACCGTTTGTATGGATTTGGAGAGTAAAACTAATATGGTAGACCAATGACCAAGTATTTTATATAGTTCAACTTCGCATAAATCTATTATCATTCTTTTATACCAAAAACAAAATAACAAAAAAAGCAAAAAACCCTATACTCGTCGTCGTACCCAGTGCACAAGGCTCCCGCTTTACGCAGGGTCTGGGAGAGGTGAATGTCGGCTAGCCTTACCCCCATTTATGGAGAGGCTGCTCCCCAACAAAAAACCCTATACTACCCAATTAATTAATTGGAAATTTCCTCTTCAAAATAAATAAGTAGAAAACACCAAATTAACAAAAAGAGCTTTTTCTACGCTTAACAAGATCTAGCTATCTCTTGAACCAAAAAGAAAGAAAGAAAAATGTAGTTATCTAGCTAGATCGCAGATTACCTGAAGATGGCTTTTAACGTGCGATATAGTGAGGTCTTTCACATTCATGATCGGTAAAACCATCTTTGGAGTGGCTCCTGTAATTAATTGAACACAACCATAAATTTTTATTAACAATTTGCTATGTATATATATATATATATGTGTGCGCGCGCGCGCGCGCGTCTGTGCTGGGAGAAAAGCTGAAGTTACTTTGTTCTCCTCCAAGCCTTTCTACTGCATGCACAAAACAGCGGTGAAGATCAGGCGTCCAACGAAGCCGAGGCATTTTGGACCGAACATAAGGTCTCACCGGAACCGATGATGACGAGGATGGTTTCAACAGGCTGCCGCTCATCTGACGATGACTGGGCGCGGCCGGAAAATGGTGGGGATAGCCGTCGACTACTAGCTGCTTCCCTAGAGTTGTGCTTCTCATAGGAGTAACACCATCACCATCACCATCATCAAATGATGACGTGTAGGGTTTCTGATCACCATTGTCAACAGAAGAAGAGGGAGACCTCTTAAGAGATGAGGATCTCTGGTGATGGTGATCATCTCCTTCAACCCTCTTCATTGCCTGATCTTTCATGTTAGATAGAGAGATCTAGATATATACGAGATGGGGTCTCAGAGAATATATATGAATACAAATCAGTTGGACTCTGTTGCTGATATGTGTCTTCTAGTGGCAGCTTTTCTCTGGCTCAAAGGGACACTTCATTTTTTCAGTCCTTGGAGTTTCAATTGGAAAAAGGAAAAAAAAAAAATACTCCCACAGAGAATTTCAGACTTTGTAGTCTAGCGCAGGTTGTGGTTTTATGTTTCAAAGTGACTTCATGATTGGGTGAAAATGAACGCTGAAAAGTGAAAAATTATATATAATATAATTCAATCTTAAAGTTCTTGGTGATATAATTTTTCTTGACTAATCAACTACCTAGCTAACACATTCTCTAGAGAAATTTTTAGTTGTGACGAGAACACGGGTGGAACACCACTTGTTTTTATTTAAGTGATGGGAAATTTTATTTTTTAAATTATTAACTTTTTAACACACATATCTCATCATTTACATAACAACATGTAGTATATCATCATGTATGATGGTCACACTAAAAAATCTCTTTATTCTCTGTGTCTTTTCTGCACATTTTAACTTTGTGAAAAGAAAAAAAGGCAAAGCTGGGTTTCTGGAGCTGTGCCCAGCCCAGCAAAACAGGAATGATTAAAAAGTTGAGTCAAGTCAATATATAATATAAATTTGTTCGACCAAAAAAACACATTTATAAAAATATATACAATATGGTCTGGGAATCAGCTAAGCAAACGTCCGTTATAACAAGAGAAATAAATAGGGTTTGACAAGAAAACAGAGGAATGGCAAACGCACGTTATAACCTCCATGTATGAATCTGATGGGTGACACATATTTGACATAAAAATAAAATAAAATAAAAAGATGGGTGACATAAGCAATTGCATCTTCAAAGCAAACCTACGAAAACAAAACCACCCAAAATTTTCAAACCTCTACTCAGTCCTCACTCCTCACAGTCAAGTTAGAGAAAATTTTGATGTTGTTGTCTGAGACTAGGGGTAATTCTTATGCATCGAGCAAGATTAATGTGAAGTTGAATAAAGTGAGAGAAAACTTTGATAAGACTGACTGATTAGAATAACTCTTATAACGGGTAAAACTGACATCAAATTAGATAAAAAAAAGAATAATTTATAAAATATCATACCAATTACGTGGTTGGCGTTCCTACACCAAATTATTCTTTGAGTCAAGTCCCCTCTCCCTAATTCCAGCCGAAAAAGACTATCACTCCTTCACAAGTCACATGGTATTTTTTTCAACTAATTAATGAATGGAAGACTCAAAGTCTCTCAATTCACACACAAATCCCTAAGCACGGCATAGAAATAGATGAACACAAAATGAACAATAAGCTGGAGGGGAAAGTGATGGGGAGAAATAATATTGAAAAGTAGACATGCTTCGCATGTCGGGTACTCGGGCATTGCTAGCTGGGGGACACGCTGGGGATGAAAACGTCATTTAATGGGGGTTATACGTAAGCACATCTGCATTGCATGCAGAGTGCAGTTAGGGTTGTGGAATTTGGATGGAATTATTTTAAAAAAAATATCTTTAATTCATTAAATTTGAATTTATTTGTTTGGACACAGACAAAATGGCTGAACTAAAATTCATGACATGGATGGAACTTTGCCTCCATGGACACACTCATTCAGTAACAGCATCCAAAAGAGAGAGAGGCGGTTTCAAATTGGAAGAATATTCCCTCTGTCTCTGTTATCAGAGTGTTTCTGTGACAGTGGCATGCATTGGCATGGACGATAAGTGTTGTGTGACATCGTAAGCAATCGAAGTCATTTTTCTTCTTTTTACAGATATCTTCGTATGTCACTAAAGGTAGATAGACGAAATAAAAGAGTATATTGGGTGTATTGTGTGACCTTTTAATGCCACTAAAGCTCAAGGACGATAATAAGGTCAGTAATGTTTTACGTCATCGATTGGGCAGCCAAGAACTAACACTGAAAAAAATGAATGTAACGGAGATGAGAATGCTTCGTTGGATTTGTGGGCACACAAGAAAGGACAAGATTAAAAACGAGGATATCCGAGGTAATGTAGGAGTGACTGCAATTGAAGATTTCAATAAGATGGTTTGGACATATGAAACAAAGATCTACAAATACTTCCGTTAGAAAATGCGATTGTGAGACAGAGGCTCAGGGCAAAAGGGGTAGGAGAAGACCTAGGAAGACTTGGAAAGAAACTTTAAGAAAATACATTGAGTACTTGGTGTTGGAAAATATTAGTATTTATGTTTATTTTAGTATTTGGGTTTTCTTATAAGTTTATTTTGGGCCTAGCCTGTTAGCATTAGGGTTAGGATTAGTTTATTATAAATAGAGTGTTTTGTTATTCATTAGAGAATAAGTTATTCACAATGTAGCTTGTTAGGGTTTTTGTAGCCGTTTCGTCATTCTCTTTGGTTTAATAATATATCTATTAGTTTATAGTTTTGTTTGTTCCGCATTCTGATATTCAACTTGGTATCAGAGTAGGTTCAATCCTTCTGGATTTAATCTGCTTGGTTGGGTTGGTATCTGTTTGTCAGTATGTATGTATGCTAGTTTATTGTCGTTGGTTTAGTTAGCAGAAAAACAAAAAGAGGATTGCTGAAGCTTTGTCATGCTTTGCCGCACACCGTTCCTATCCCACATCAGATCACCACGGCACAGCCGTCGCTCCACCTCGTCGCCCCACAATCACGACTCCACTCTTGAATCGATTCCGCTGTCATTGAACCCGCTTGCACCCACACCCAGATCTGTAGCCGCCGTTGCCCCATGTTGTTGCAGTCTGATCCGTTTGCATCGACACCTTGTTCCTTCCTGCACTCGCATCGTTTTCTGACGAAGCTTGAAACCCAGCTTTCTGCACTTGCATGTTTTGCAAGGTTTGTCTGGAGAAAACCACAAGAAAATGGGGGAAGAAAAAGAAAAAGAAAAAAAAGAAGAAAGAGGAAGAAGGAGATATAAAAAAAATTTAAAAAAGGAGAAAAAAAATAGAAAAGAAAGGAAAAAGAAAAAGTTGGTTTTTTTGTTTGAGGCCCACACGGGCAAAAGAAAAAAAAAGGTTTAAGTTTGTTTTTAGGCCTGCATGAATTATTGGTTGGCCTATTTGGAATTGTTTTGTGACTATTATTTGAGTGTTGAATTGTGACCACTCGAGTGATAGTATTTGTGTTTGGTTGTTTGTTGCTATAATTAAGATATGAAAATCTCGTCCGTTTAGTGACGGGTTCTTTCAATACTCTCAACACTAGCCAATTTGAACCAGAATCAGTTTGCAAGCAAGAATCAAGAATCAAGAACCAGTTTGCCAGTCAAGTCAAGTCAAGTCAAGAATCAAGTCAAGTCAAGTCAAGAATTAAGTCAAGTTCGCCAGTCAAGTCAAGTCTAGTCAAGTCAAGTCCAGTCAAGTTTGCATGCCTGCCAGTCCGCCTAACGGAGCCAGTCCGCATCTGCTTGTTTGCAAACCCATGTCGTATACCGCCATGAGTTTGACGGGGGGGTGTTGGAAAATATTAGTATTTATGTTTATTTTAGTATTTGGGTTTTCTTATAAGTTTATTTTGGGCCTAGCCTGTTAGCATTAGGGTTAGGATTAGTTTATTATAAATAGAGTGTTTTGTTATTCATTAGAGAATAAGTTTGTTAGGGTTTTTGTAGCCGTTTCGTCATTTTCTTTGGTTTAATAATATATCTATTAGTTTATAGTTTTGTTTGTTCCGCATTCTGATATTCAACTACCTAATAGAAGACTTGGTGCAAAATCAAGCACCATTATGCATCTTGAATTTAGTAATTATGCACCTTGAATTTAAGATATTCATTCTATTTGCTCCGTCAACTTTGAATTTGGTTATGAGTTCGCATAACTTTTTAAAATGTATTACTGATTGTCTAGTCTATACAAATTCTGTTAATTTCCTTACTTGAAATTAGGATAAAAATAGAACTCTACATGATAGGAAAAACTAGAATGTAAAGACAAATTAACACACTCTAACACTAGGAGGGTTCAAGGTCAAATTAAAAGCTCATAAGAGACCCGAAATAAAACCCTAAGTTTGTAGGGCATTGCTTAAATTCTCTTTAAACCAAATATAAATTCTGAGTTTTTAGCTATTTGAAAATCTTTTTTTGTTTGTGTTTGTGTGTACCCCTCAATACTATCATTTCTCTCCCTCTTCTTTTGCTTAGAGGAAACAAAAACTACCCTTTTGGAGAACTACAAACATGGCAGAGCAGTTATAGCCTTTATTTTATTTTTTTATATACACGAGATCTTTATAATCTTAAATTGTGTGGAGAGGGATTCGAATATCAATGCATAGAGAGCACATCCAGTTCAGCCAGTGCATCCATATCTGCATGAGCCCTTATATTAAATCTCAATTTAGGATGCATATTATTATTATATGTTGTAAGATTCCACATCGCCTAGGGGAGTGGATCATATAAGTCTTATATATATATATTCTCATCTTTACCTAGCACAAGGTCTTTTGGGAGCTCACTGGCTTCGGGTTACATCGGAACTCCGAAGTTAAGCGAGTAGCCCGCAAGAGCAATCCCATGATAGGTGACCCACTGGGAAATTCTCGTGTGAGTTCCCAGAAACAAAACCGTGAGGGCGTGGTCGGGGCCCAAAGCGGACAATATTGTGCTCCGGCGGAGTCGAGCCCGGAAAGTGGTCCCGCCCGGGCCGAGATGTGACAATTTGGCATCAGAGCCAATCCCTGACTAGAAGTGTGCCGACGAGGACGTCGAGCCCCTAAGGTGGGTGGATTGTAAGATCCCACATCACCTAGGGGAGTGGATAATGTAAGCCTTATATGTATATTTACATCTTTACCTAGCACGAGCCCTTTTGGGAGCTCATTGGCTTTGGGTTCCATCGGAACTCCGAAGTTAAGCGAATAGCGCGCGAGAGCAATCCCATGATGGATGACCCACTGGGAAGTTATCGTGTGAGTTCCTAGAAACAAAACCGTGAAGGCGTGGTCGGGGCCCAAAACAGACAATATCGTGTTCCGGCGAAGTCGAACCCGGGAAGTGGTCCCGCCCGAGCCGGGATGTGACA